AAAAAAAAAAATCGAAGCGCTTTATAATTTTCATACTCTTCAGTCTTCGTTTTTCTTCCTTGTTTCTACCTCAAACGAAATTAAACTCTATTTAATATGCAGTATGGTACAGCAATGTGGTTTATACATTTCTAGCAATAGGAATTCTTTAGCCAGAACTTTTTTTTTTTTTTTAAGGGTGGTGGGGGGGGAGGTTTTTTGTGTGTCTAAAAATGCATCTGTTACTGCTTTTCTCTTAAAAACTAGCTGGAAAGAAAACCAAAGGTGTCATAACCTTTAATTAGATTTCAGTGATTTATCAGCAATATTAATCCAATAGGCACTGCAAATTATCATAATGGAATTGAAGGTTAGGTACTCTCTTCAGGGTGTCAGGGGAGAGACTCAGCATTGTTGTGTTCAGGAAGATTAATTGAACTTTGTCCAGAGTGAATTATGTCTACGTTGCTACTTACATTTGTTAAATGTAAATACAGGCACGTTCCAGTTATCATCAGAAAAGAGCACTAACTTGTTTTTGTGTTTATCATCTGTAAGTAGGACTGTGGGAATTATTCTTTTGTGGGAGCTGGGAGAGAGATTTTTTGAAACTCCCTCCCCGAAGAAAGTTTTCATGGAGAAAAACCCGCCCCCAAATGATAGATCAGGACACAGGTTTTGTTTCACAGCCTCTGAAATGCTGCTTTGACTTCTGTGTTTTGCTGTTCAGGAGGTGCTCTGTGTTTGGCTGTGAGTTCTGGCAGTGCAGATGATCTCGTTTCCTTCCCGTGAAGAGCTGAGCCGCTGGTAGCAGATTGTGTAAATGGTCACAGCTACAGCTCCTGTGAATCCAGGGTGATTGTTTAATCCAGCGTGGCTGGGGGGTTGATACGAGAGTTGCATTATTCCTATAAAGAAATTCTGTTCAGTCCTGGATCTGAATAAATCGTTTTAATCGGAAAATTTGGAATTTGAGCATGGTGTAGACAAACTGTGATTTCAGAATAATGGTCAAATAAACATCTGCAGCTTCAGCCAGCGGTCCAAAGCGGCCACTTTCCCTGGTAGATGGAAAACAGATTGCTGTTCCCTGAGTTGGAACTGGGGGAAATGGACTGTTGTGTTTTGGCCTCTTTGGCTGGTTTTGTATCTGTATGTGATGTGAGCGTGTCTGATGTATCATGTAGTACAGATACAGGAGTAACAGAGGGGGTTGTGTTTATTAGGGAAAGAATTCCTAATAAATCAGGCAGTTTTAGCACAATTAGATACAAAGAATTCCAGGGTTCTGATGTTATTAATGCAGGTTTAGCTTCAAGCCCAGGCTGCTCCCTTTGCCTGTGCTGTGTGTGGCTGATCAATGTTGCTGGTGGTGTGTTCATCACAGCTTGGCTGTTCCTGCCCCTCATCACTCGGGGATTGCAGGGGTTGATTTTTTCCCCTGGTTTGGATCTCTGTTCTCTTTTACAAGCCAGTTCAGAGGATCATCAGCATCTTGTCTATGCTGAGGAGGCAGAGTTCTCCAACATTCTTTGAATGTTCCACAGAAGAAAAAAAAAAAAAATCTATATTCCCGTGTGCCATAGCAGCAATTTCCTATAGCTGTAAATTGACATTATTTCTCGTTGCATTGTGTGGCTTGATGACATACCCATTCACACAGCTGTGTTCACTCTGCAAGAAATTACTGTGACGCTGATAAAATATGAATATACCAAAAGCTTCCAGAGCTGTTGATAAGACTTGCTACCAGGAGAACAACTAAGTGTAAATTGTCAGATTTCTGTATGAATTTTGCTGAATTTTTTGAGTCCTGACATGTTTAAACAACACTCATGTATTAATATTTCTGGGAAAACTGGATTATGTAATGGGAAAAGCAATCATCACAGATTACAGGACGTTGTTGCTCAGAGAGAAGGCTGAAGTGATGGATGTTCCACAACCCCTCTGTTAAAACAGATCTCTCCTACAAGGGCAGATAAGAGATCTCTAAACAGAAATTTTACCACAGCGCAGCCATTCTTGTAGATAACAANTTTTTAAGGGTGGGGGGGGAGGTTTTTTGTGTGTCTAAAAATGCATCTGTTACTGCTTTTCTCTTAAAAACTAGCTGGAAAGAAAACCAAAGGTGTCATCACCTTTAATCAGATTTCAGTGATTTATCAGCAATATTTATCCAATAGGCACTGCAAATTATCATAATGGAATTGAAGGTTAGGTACTCTCTTCAGGGTGTCAGGGGAGAGACTCAGCATTGTTGTGTTCAGGAAGATAAATTGAACTTTGTCCAGAGTGAATTATGTCTACATTGCTACTTATATTTGTTAAATGTAAATACAGGCACGTTCCAGTTATCATCAGAAAAGAGCACTAACTTGTTTTTGTGTTTATCATCTGTAAGTAGGACTGTGGGAATTATTCTTTTGTGGGAGCTGGGAGAGAGATTTTTTTGAAACCAGAGGGCGACTCCCTCCCCGAAGAAAGTTTTCATGGAGAAAAACCCGCCCCCAAATGATAGATCAGGACACAGGTTTTGTTTCACAGCCTCTGAAATGCTGCTTTGACTTCTGCGTTTTGCTGTTCAGGAGGTGCTCTGTGTTTGGCTGTGAGTTCTGGCAGTGCAGATGATCTCCAGTTTGCTTCCCGTGAAGAGCTGAGCCACTGGTAGCAGATTGTGTAAATGGTCACAGCAACAGCTCCTGTGAATCCAGGGTGATTGTTTAATCCAGCGTGGCTGGGGGGTTGATACGAGAGTTGCATTATTCCTATAAAGAAATTCTGTTCAGTCCTGGATCTGAATAAATCATTTTAATCGGAAAATTTGGAATTTGAGCATGGTGTAGACAAACTGTGATTTCAGAATAATGGTCAAATAAACATCTGCAGCTTCAGCCAGCGGTCCAAAGCGGCCACTTTCCCTGGTAGATGGAAAACAGATTGCTGTTCCCTGAGTTGGAACTGGGGGAAATGGACTGTTGTGTTTTGGCCTCTTTGGCTGGTTTTGTATCTGTGTGTGATGTGAGCGTGTCTGATGTATCATGTAGTTACAGATACAGGAGTAACAGAGGGGGTTGTGTTTATTAGGGAAAGAATTCCTAATAAATCAGGCAGTTTTAGCACAATTAGATACAAAGAATTCCAGGGTTCTGATGTTATTAATGCAGGTTTAGCTTCAAGCCCAGGCTGCTCCCTTTGCCTGTGCTGTGTTGTGGCTGATCAATGTTGCTGGTGGTGTGTTCATCACAGCTTGGCTGTTCCTGCCCCTCATCACTCGGGGATTGCAGGGGTTGATTTTTTCCCCTGGTTTGGATCTCTGTTCTCTTTTACAAGCCAGTTCAGAGGATCATCAGCATCTTGTCTATGCTGAGGAGGCAGAGTTCTCCAACATTCTTTGAATGTTCCACAGAAGAAAAAAAAAAAAAAAAAATCTATATTCCCGTGTGCCATAGCAGCAATTTCCTATAGCTGTAAATTGACATTATTTCTCGTTGCATTGTGTGGCTTGATGACATACCCATTCACACAGCTGTGTTCACTCTGCAAGAAATTACTGTGACGCTGATAAAATATGAATATACCAAAACCTTCCAGAGCTGTTGATAAGACTTGCTAC